AAAAAAAGGCAAATTTGGCAAAGCCTCGAATTTTTAACAATGGTTTTCTGCCTAGAAATGGAAACCAGCTAATTGATTTTTTGCAGATTAAAGCACTGGTACGAGTAAAATGGGAGAAAAAGCAATTTACTTAATTGGGGGGGCTGACCTTGGAACAGAATTCTACTGGACTTTTAAATGCAAAGAAGCCACGCAATAAGAAAAATTAGGTGCACCCCTCAAATTAATGTAGCCTATTTCGCAAATACCGCTTGACTGATCTTGAATGCATCCTAGAACAGGAATGGAAGCAAAGAGGACCTTGGCACAACCACGATAGTTGACATAAAGACCATGCACAGGAAGTAATAAAGCTTGTTACTCTGATTCTAAAATGATTCTAGCAAGTTGAGTATATGATTTGCACACTCATAGCAATTATGGGCTGATTAGAGAGGTACAACAGGGTTCCCCTAACATTCACTGCCCTGAGGTTGTGCAGGTAAGTTCTTTTTCTTAAGGAACTGATCACCTAATAGCAGAGAAAGAAACATGAGTTTCTGCAATAAGTAATAAACTAAAAGCTGCAAAAAAAAAAAAAAGTAACCCACGCCTATATTGAAGGGGATAAGAATATGCCACCCCAAAAGATGTTACTTGGACATCAAGATTTGGGGCTGGGAGCAATTGAGAAACAGTAGTGAAAGTATTCTGCCCTCCCCCTCTATGCTAAAAGCAGGGCATAAATTTCACTTTGTGAAGGTGACATAAATTTCCATTTGTAAAGATATTCCCCACTTCCGGAAGAGGTAGAAATCCTATCAGCAGAGAAGAGTAACTCGTATCTGCATAATGTACCTTATTAAACAACCTTTATTTACCAGACATTTCCTAGTCACCACCTGAAAGCACACAAAGTCTTAGTATTTCCGAGGGCATAGAGGTTACTCAATGAATAGTTGTTGAATGAGTGAAACTTTTATAAGCATCAGATCTATTTACATACTCAGATTTGTCAAAAAAGAAAGCAACATACCCAAATAAATTTCATAAAAAAGAAACAGTATGATAAGTAATAATGTCCTAAAGCTTCACAGCCTAGGGCAAAGAAACAGCTGACACTGACATTAACATGTGAGTGTTAATTGCTAAATGAACCTACCTGCTCTAGCAAGAACTCCAGCCACTGGTGAAATAACTCCAAAATACAGCTGGGGTTCTAAATGGTGTCTGACATCGCTAATGAATCTTCCAGGCTGCCTTTGCCTCTCTGAGCCACTCCAGTTCAGTCTCCTTTCCAGGAAGCCCTCAGTCCTCACCAGACATCGGCTGATTGGTGCTTCACCTGGCCACATGGATCGTCTCAGTCCTCAGGGTTACAATCTCTTGCAAATGAGAACACCGGTTTTCCCCCATGCTTTACATTCTGCTTGGCGGTGTTGAGAGAGAAGCGGAGACAGCGACAACAGACCCAAAATGGAGTTACTTATGTTGTGTCACGTCAGTAAACCAGCACTTCATATCTAACCTAATGACAATTTCAAACTCTCCCAGTAATGTAATCTTAAACCAGTAAATGTGGAATTTCTTGGTCAGCACTAGTGAGGTAATGCACCTGATAGACCCCTTCTATCCCCCAAAGATAATGTAATCTGCCCTTGTCCCTGCCCTCTTTTGACTATAAAAGTCTCACATTTTGTTCAGCTCTTTAGAGCTCCTTTTTATTTGCTAGATGGTATGCTGCCCCTTTTGATGAATCATTGAATAAAGTCAATTTGATCTTCAATTGTATTCAGTCGAATTTTGTTTTTTAACAATGGGTAAGGTGACACAAGATTCTTTGGACCTCTGAGAGAGAATTCATTGAGAAAGCATGTTCCTTTTATTAAAAACAAGACAACAGGCCCAAAACAGAGTCACTTATGTCAAGCCCACATCACCAAACCAAGACTTAATTATAGTTTCAACTGTCCTAGAAATGGAATCTTAAACCAGTCAGGAGTCACCTGATTAGCACTAGTTAAGGAATCTGCCTGATAGACCCCTGACACCTCCTCAAGGAAAGTAACCTTGCAAGAATCCACACAGTTTTTGTTCCTAGTATAACCTCCTTGTTCCCATCCCTTCTGCTCATAACAGTCTTTCATTTTGTACAGCTCCCCACCCAGAGCTCCTTCCTCTGTGCTAGATTAGATGCCACCAGCTTCAAAACAATTTTTGCTCAAATAAACTCTTAAAAATTTAATATGCCTCAGTTTATCTTTTAGCAGTGCATACACACGGCCTTTTTCTCCCCGGAGGACAATGTACAGTGCCAAGAGAACTGGATTGGAAGGGTTCCAGTTCAAGCTGCAACAACACTCCTGGGCTCCCACCCTCTCTGACCTTCAGGGCCTGCTGCTGAATTGGTTCATGCATCTGGCCAACTCCATGCTGTATGGTGAGCTCTCTCTTCAGGTCCCTTGGTTCTCTTTTGGGCTATGGTCTCATCCCCATGCATTTCTACCAAAACAGTTATTGCTGCTTTAGTTTTTGTCCTAGAAGTTTCTTTGGTCCTCCCAATAAACTACATCTACAAGTGGTTATCAAAGAAAATGAAGTCACACAGTTCCACAAGACATAGCCAGTTATCAGTAGAAAGTCAACTGCGGCCCTTGGTCATCCAGGGCAACTCAGGATGACATTTCATTTTGTTGGATGAGGAATGTGTGTTTAACAATAAAACATGGGCACCTGGGTGGCTCAGTTGGTTAAGCGACTGCCTTCGGCTCAGGTCATGATCCTGGAGTCCCGGGATCAAGTCCCACATCGGGCTCCCTGGAGTCTGCTTCTCCCTCTGACCCTTTTCCCTCTCGTGCTCTCTCTCATTCGCTCTCTCTCAAGTAAATAAATAAAATCTTTAAAAAAATAAATAAATAAAAATAAAATAAAACATGTATGCTTTTAAATTAATGTTTGAGTATAACATTTGTTTAAGAGATCACTGTTCATTACATTAAAAAGAATAATAAAGGGGACAAAGGGAGGCCACGTTTATTACATTTTAAAAAAATCATTACACCTATTTAATAATAGATTTATTTCCGTAGCCAGTCACAATTAAAAAGTCTGAAAAGTTAAATGTCAAGAAACAACATTTTAGGGGTGCCTGGGTGGCTCAGTTGGTAGGCGTCTACCTTCGGCTCAGGTCATGGTCCCAGGGTCCTGGGATCGAGCCCCGCATCGGGCTCCCTCCTCAGCGGGAAGCCTGCTTCTCCCTCTCCCACTCCCCCTGCTTGTGTTCCCTCTCTCGCTGTGTCTCTCTTTCAGATAAATAAATAAAATCTTAAAAATAATAACTAAAAAAAAGAAACAACATTTTAAATTATTTTAAATATTTCTGACTTCAAATTTCTAATTTTTTTTAAGATCTTATTTATTTATTTGACAGAGAGAGACACAGCGAGAGAGGGAACACAAGCAGGGGGAGTGGGAGAGGGAGAAACAGACTCCCTGCTGAGCAGGGAGCGCAATGCGGGGCTCGATCCCAGGACCCTGGGACCATGACCTGAGCCGAAGGCAGACGCTTACCAACTGAGCCACCCAGGCGCCCCTCTGATTTCTAATTTATGTAAGTAACTTGTGTTATCTTATACAATTTTTAAATTCAGAAAAACTCATGGAATAACATTTAAAATTAACTATAACATATCAAGCAGAAGTATATCTCTCTATATACTGTACACACACGTGTGCTATAGTATATATTTTATAAAAATAGAATAATATTGCATCTGGCCTTATAACCTGCATTTTTCCTTGTGATATATTGTGACTAATTTCACAGTCATTAAATATTCTTTTATACCATAATTTCAATGGCCGAATATCAAATCCTTATACAAATGTGTTTCCTGGAGTATGCAGTATTCATTTATCCTGTCTATCTCTGCTGCTCCATCCGCTTTCTCTGTTTGTATGTGTTATATGGACAAGCACTGAGGTTCATGCAAGGGGGCCCATACTTGGGAGGTTCCCTAAGCTGCTGACACATACTTGCTCTATCGGAAAGGTACAGAGATAAGTACTCCTATCTACAGGTGTCTCATGTACACCTAATGCCTCCTGATTATTAGATAGCTCTTGGCCCTTCCATCCCTTTTAACATGCATCTACATTTAACAGATACATGCTTCCCTTACTCACCATTGATCTGTATATAATACATCTTCATTCATTCATTTCATCATTTCATCAATTACAACAGTTTTCTTAACAGATCTGAATAGTGTTCTGCAACAGATCTGAAATGCAAGTGCATCTTTCAAATCTAACAAAATTCTCTGTCTAATCTGCTGCCATTTTAGCAAAACTTTCTAACTCACCTTGGATTTCAATTTAGAATCAGAAAATCTCCAGAAAGCCTGACCTCAACTTCTGGGTCGTATTTAATTCTCCTAGCACTGAATAACTCCCACTCTGTTTCCAAGGTAACAATAAAAGGAAAAGGTTGTTTACCCGTCTAGTACTCCTCTTGGTTTTAAGATTTGTACTTTTCCCAACCACTTAGCTCCTTATTAAAACTCCTCATTATGGGGGGTGCCTGAGTGGCTCAGTCCGCTGAGTGTCTGACTCTTGGTTTCAGCTTAAGTCATGATCTCAGGATCCTGGGATCAAGCCCCCTCATCAGGCTCCAAGCTTAGCAGGGAGTCTGCTTGAGGATTCTCTCCCTTTCCCTCTGCCCCCTCCCCCTGCTCATGTACACTCTCTCTCTCTCAAAAGAAAATAAATCTTTAAAAAATAAAAATTGAAAAAAGATAAAATAAAACTCCTTTACTTGGAATGTATCTTTGTATTCACCCTTGCTCTTAATTCCTTCAAAGTTAATTATTTATTTAATATATATAAATTAACGTGTGTGTGTGTGTAGAAGGGAACTGCAGAAATGGGATCCCTTTGGCTATGTGTTAATCTAAAGTTTTCAGCCCCACTTGGCCTATCGTTAGGGCCAATAAGTGACCTCACCTTTTCCCTCCCTGGAGTTTTTTGTGGACAGCCCTGACATCTGAATTTCCACAGCAGGTATCCACAAAAGTCACTGCCTTCCCTTCCTTCCCAAGAACCCTCACCACATATATTATAGGTGGAGTGACCAACAGTCCTGGTTTGCCAAGGACTGTTCAGTTTTAGCACTGAAAGTCTTATGTCCAAGGAAACCCCTCAGTCCCAAGCAAACAGAGACAATTGTCACCCTAATACAGATCAAAAGAAATGAGATAATGTGTCCAAAGGATAAAGATTTCCTGAGAGAGCCAGGAAAAGCTTGGACGAGGAGGTAATATTTGAGACCAGGTCTGAAAATGAGTGGAATAAGAGATTTAGAGCACAGGGGGTAACACATTCCAAGCTGGAAGTCAGGACTGTGCAAGTAGGTACAAGAGAGAGTGGGTCTACCAGTCTGACTGGTTCAGAGGACTGGGAGATAAGGCTGGAAAATTAGGTTGGGACCAGATTATAGAAGGTCTTAAATGCCAGGATAAGCACTTGGGACTTTATTACACAAGAATTGGGATTTGCTAAAGACCTCTGACCTTGGAACTGACATGGTGAATAATGGCTTCAGAAAGACCCATCTTTCATGTCTGTGCAGGATTTACTGGAGAAGGCAGAGAGAGTCAAAGCCCCAAGTCTAGTTAGTTCACTGTGGTACTGTAGTCATCAAAGAATGAGAGGCGGAGACTTGAACTAAGGTATTGGCCCAGAAATGAAACGGAAATGCTAGATTTAAGAGATTGCAAGACAATCCCTGGCAAAACTTAGCAAACAATAATGTGGAGAAAGAGAAAATTGGTTGGCACCAAGACATTAGAAGTGGGGTGAGTTGGGAGTTCTCAGAGCAATCCAGAATGAAGAGGGCGAATGAGAAGTGAGAGGAGGGAGAGGGGCAAGTTGAGGGAGCAAGATGACAGAAAGTACGTGGCGGGTAATGCAACCCTTCTCCGCATGCCTCAGGCATCTTGAGTAAAATCAATAATTAAATCCATCAATTTTCAGTGTGAGCAATTCCGCTGTGGAAACCAAAGAGAAGCCTGAGGAACGCAGAGTACATGAGGACACCTTGCTTAGAGGCTGGGAGGGTCCTATAGTTGTAAGTGCCTAAGAATTTGCAGCAATTGTACATGGCTGGTTGGACTTTCGTGTTCCACCAGAATCTGAGCAGTTTCACTAGCTTTTGAGGGGAGGGAGCGCCATTCAACTCCGTTCCATTTAAATGCCCATGGGAAGGAACTAGTAGAGAGAGATACAGTAAAGGAATAAAACCGGTTATAAGTAATACTGGGAGTATAACGTTAGAACAAGATGAAGGCCTTGAGCT